GGTTCCTATTTTGGTCCGGGGAGAGTATACGTCGTGCCTTCAAAGGCACTCTTTTTTTAGAAATGTGCTGCCAGCAATACTTGCTGAAATCGGTTTGCAATCCGATGAGCACATGCACGGCGCCCCCCGGCTCCTACGACGTGCTTTGCGGGATTTTGCGGGTGATGGGAACCCACGTGCATGGCCGAAAGATGCCGAAAGCGCATGCCGATGCCTTGAAGCATTGGAGGGCGGAGGCAGAGATGCCTCTTGCATGTTGTTTTTGCGGGGTGGAAGATTCGTGGGAGCTTTGCATGAGGAGGGCTGGCAAGCCTGCCAGCTACGAGCACTGTTCGAAGGCGTCGCCACCATCCATGAGTTGCTGCATGCCAGAGTGGCCGGCTGTTCGGCATGCCGACGACTTTACGCATTACGTAAGGGGTCACAGCATTAGAGGAATAAGGCCGTTCAATAGGATATTAAGGAAATATTGGGGAGTCAGGCGATCACGCCTGCCGCGTGTTGAAAAGCACGCACAGGGTGCGCAGCGCTGGTCCGAATTCCTTTTCAGTCGTGGCTGAGCCCAAGTGTTCATTGTGTAGAGCATTTTGTTGGAATGTTGTTGATTTTTTCGCTGGGAGGGTCGAGACCTCGATCACAGCTGGAGAACACACGCGCGCCCATAGACTCGAAAGATTCCTGAAGGTTGGCGATGCAATGGGTTGATTCCACTCGATGGTGTCCGTTTTCGCATACTTTCCATGTGGAGGTCGTGGCATGTGTGGCAAACTGTTGGCCAGTGACGCAACCATCTGGCACGCTCTCGTTCCCAATCGGTCATTTCCCGTGGCTCCGTTATGCTTAATGTTTCGTTTCAATCGAGCTGATTGGTGTTGTTGCTTAACCACAGCCTGAAGCGGTTTAGATTGCATTGCTTCTTTTTCTACACCGTGTTGCTTTGCTAACTCAACAACTGTTGATTGGAGTACCTGCGTGATACAATGCCGTTGCCAACCGTTGCACTCAGGCCCAGCCGACTATGCGGGAAAAGTGGAGGCTGCGCCGCATTTTGGTTTCGGACTGGCCAAGAAGAATCGGCACTGAATTGGTGCAGCATCAGAATCGGAATCAGCACGGAGTCGCAATGGCAGGCAGACAACATGTAACCGCCTTGATGCCAGGCCTTCGCGAAGCATTGTGATTGCGTGAAATCGTCGGATGCAGACGTCGAGTCGGATTCTTGGAAGGCTCATGCAGGTTTTGTTGATTCAGGCAATTCGCGACAATCATGTTATCGATCGGTTCCGTGTGCGGCCTGTTGGGTTGTGCGGCAACCAGCCCAGCAGTTCCGGATGCTCCACTCTCTGCTGGTGCGAGGGCTGACCGAGGCCCGAGGCTTTTTCTCGAGCTTTTCGGGGGACACGTCTAGCTACTCGTAATCGGAAGCGAGTGCTGCTTGACCACCAGACACGGACGGCGTTCTCAAACGCCTGATCTCATCGTCTTTGGCTTTCATATGCTTTCATACCCAAGCCACTGCTAAAAGCTTGCTGGTTGTTTCGAGAACATCGGTGAAGGCACCACTTGGCAGCACCAGGCACATCGCGAGGGGCGAGCAGGGATGCTTTGAGGCTAACTCATCGACAAGCGTGCGCAGGAGTGTTTGTTGTTGGCGTCCAGCCTCAGTTGTGCGAACTCACAACCATCCAGCTTACGCACAGAGATCGTGCTAAATGAACATCGCGCCAGAACGAGTTGTGCATTGCTTTTGGTGTTGGTTCATTGCGACTCCCGAGACAGCTGCAGAGATGGCTTCGTCGGTGCTGATCAACCGAACCAAGCACCACACATGCATGCACGACAAGAATTCATTGGGTTTCGTGGTTTGGGTTTTGACTTCGCGTGCTACGACCTCACGGCCTTAGCCCCGCATCAGCACCATGTAGTGATTGCAGATCTCAGTGCATGTGGGTTGGCATTGCCCGCTCGCCCAGACCCTTTCACATTGCGAAAGCTTGCGATTGACATAGACGACACACCAAGCAAATGTCATGACGACAAAGGTTCCTCTATGGTGCAGGTGTGGACCTGGAGGCGACATCGGTGCGTGATATTGCAAAGCAGAAGTCAGTGGTGTCATGCTAGAAACAAGTTTCTGAAGCGGCAGGTTATCGCCAAGAAGCCATTCAGCAGCAATCAGCTATGTTTCGTCATCAAGCTCGTGTCTGAGACCCAATGAAAGCCAAGGTGGTTGCAGCAGGGCCCCAAAATAGTTGCCCGGCGTGGTTTGAGCTGATCCCTTCATTGCTGCTGGGTGTTGCGAGTATGAGTGGCTCTTGTTTTTTACTTTTGCATACCATGGCGGAAGATGGACCGCTGCACTGCGCAAAAAACTGCTACAACTTGTGTTGCAATACTGAGTTCCTGTCAAGGCATTTAATTTTAGCGACCATACTCGGGATCTATAGTAAGTAATATGGTTTCCATACTATGGTAACTTTAGTCAAATCCTAACAAGAGCCCAGAATAAGCCGCGTTTTCCTCACGGAGCGGAGCGCATTACCCCTAAACCCTAAACGTCGGTGCGAACCAAGAACCTCGTCTGGCTGTGTCCGAGTTGCGAGAGCATAAACCCTACTTGGAGGATCATGGGACTTAGTAAGTAAAGCTATAAGTACCCTAATTGGAGTTAGAAGTATAGTTACTTTATTTATAACCCTAAGTTACTAAGTCCCATGATCCTCCAAGTAGACCCTGAACCCCAATCTCCATAGTTCCCTTGTAAGGAACCCTTATAGATCCCTCTGAGGACCCCTGTAAGGAAACCTTGTTACTAACCGCCCGAAGGTCGTGATCACACGCGGTCCCGACGGAGCGGCTCGTCTCGGAGCTCTTGGGGAGTTTTTTCAAAATTTAGGGGGTACCTTAGGGTTCCTTTAAAGGGCTGCTCTTCGGGTACTATTATAAGGGTTCCTTTAAGGGAATCCTTAAGGGTATAGAGTTCCCGAACGAAAACAAAGAGTACCCTTATTTCCGGGTCTTTGTGATACGGATCCTACTATTCCGAGTATTACATTAGGGTCCCCTGTTTTCGGAAACTCCCATATTCGCCAGAGAAGGTGCAATAGGCCCCACCGATTCCATGGAAGCAGTGCCAGGCCACGGCGTGGTTTCGTCAAGGGAAGGACGGGCCAGGTGCTCAAAGCCGCGGTCCGTTGATTGTCAGCCTACCTTTTAGCGTCCTTGCCATGATATCCATGATTCGCTCACCCTTCCTCTGCCTGCTTGAACCTAGTATTTAGGCCCATCACGTCACTGTCGGCTTTGCCCCCGTGCAAGCCACCGATGACCATCGATGCCAAGGATGCTGGGGTTTAACACCTAGCAATTGCGAATGCGTAGGAAGGAGCAACCAGCAAGAAGAGTTCGGACAGGTGTCAATCACAGTTTTAGGACTTCGTGGAGACTTCATCATTCAATGAACTGTGCCTGCAGCAGTCAGGAGACACTGTAGAGCAGACATTTTCCACCATTTCTCGCATGCCTGCAGGGCCAGCAGGCGCCTGTGGCAGACACTGTCGGACGACGCCTCAGAACAGCTTGTCTTGACAGCATAAGTGTTGCAGCTTGCAGTCACGAATTGTACATCTTGCCATGTTCGATTTCTTCTCAAACCTATCTAGCCTGACCCTAAGGTGCTGGAGACACATGCATGGGTGCATTGCTTTGTGGTTTCCTCGGTAAGGCAGGAAGAGCCCAAGCACAGGATTTATGTGCATATACACAGCCTGTCGTGATCTTCCGTGGCTTTGTTGGCTGAACGCCCGCCCCTGTCGTAGCAGAGACGTGCCCGACCCTCGTGCGCAAGTCATACCAGGCATACAGTCATCGGCTAAGTCTCGCAGCTTCCAGCAGCTGATTCAGGCTCAGATACTGTGCAGCAGCCGAACCAACATCAACGAAGTAAGAAGTTGGCACATGCAACACGTTCGATTTCACTCCCATGCCAAATCATGCCAACTCTTGCTTCTGTATTGTGCCCCGTACTCTGAGCCTTTGATGTAACAAAGGCTCATTGGCAGAGGACTAGAGTCGTATTTCTGTCTCGAGGTCTTGAAAATGAAGGCACCCAGGACGTTAGGCATGAGCCAGTTCCACTCTGGTAGTTCGACCTTACTTCAGTGCGTTGTCCACCCGATGTCTTTGCAGCAGCATGGTGTGGAGGCGAAGATATTTTGCATGTGCTCGGGGGTCTTGTATGTGATTCCGGTGTCAGCGGCTCTGGCATGGGAAGGTCAGCTCTGAGAAGAGCACTGCTGGACAACGTTGCAGTTGGAGGCGATCCCATTTCCCGCTTGAGCCCGTTTGCTCTGGCACGGCTAGCGGCTTGTCATATTGACAGGCTTTGTAGGTTCAGGCTGAAATGCAGAAAGGCCTCTCGATATTCTCCGGGGGTCCTCCCAGAATCCCCAGCCTCACAGAATCGTTGCTTCGGTCATTCTGGTCAGAGGCATGCATCCTGTTGTAATGTCTGGCCCTCCATGTGCGTTGAAAAATCCAGGCTGTGTGCCCAAACGCCTTGAAATGTCCAAGCTTTAAGAGGCCGAAGCATCACGCGTGATGGACGAAACGTAGATTTATGTTGCTTGGCCTTCGGAGGGCTGAGGCCGTTTCACGGACGGGCTTCAAGCAACTGCGGATGACAGGGCCTCACCACTAGAAACGAGTGATCTTCCAGCCGTGACTTTTGAATGGGACACGCGCTCTCTATCACGCTGCATGGTATCAAATTCTATTCAAGCACACCTTGTGGCGAGTTGCACTGCTTCGGTGTAATGTTCCAATCTCTCCTCCGCATCGCATCCCAGGCATTTCGCACCTCGGCAGACTTTGCTTCGGAGATGGGTGTGGCATTTGCCGATGTAAAGCAGAGGGATAACTGCAAAGCTCTCCTCTGCAAAGGTGCAGCACGAGAAAATCGCAAAAGCGTAAGCTTTTGGCGGGCGCTTTCTGCCCGAGCAATGGTAGTGGCGCCGACAATGCAGCCCGGAGAGCTGAGCCCAGCACTGGCTTTGCTGCTTTGCTCCTTTCGCACACTGCATTGATACTGAGTGCTGACATCTTCCATCATCTTCAGGATATGTCTATGGTCCTTGCTGCGTTTGCCCGGCTGCGGTTGCGAGACCGCGAGATGATGCTTCGAATCGCTGAATCTACGCCGGCCATTCTGGGACAGTTCGCGGCCACTGATATCACGAGCTTCGGTGAGAATTAGCTTCTAATTACTGTTGTGTTGTTTCCGTCAGTTTTGCCGCGGCAGCGGTACGGCGACTTGGGCGGACGGTGTTAGGTTAGTAGTTCGTAGGACCTAGTGGGACTCGGAGGTACTTTGAGACTGCCTTCCTTGCAGCTGCCTGAGGCACTTCCTGGCAGCTTTTGCCCGGCTGGATGTCGAGCACCGGCTCGTCTTCAACCTCTTTGCCAGAGAGATTGCCAGGCCAGCCGGGCTCCTCAGTAGTCGCGAGTTGAGGAGAGCTTTCAAAACGAAGTGGGAGTTAAGCCAGGCGGCACTTGTCGGTTTTGAACTTCGGGGCTTCGGTGCAGTCACCAACCAATTTGCATGTACATGAATCAAAAGCCGAGAGCCGATCGAAGTGGCGGGAGGAAGCTTCACGACTTCGATGCTGCTCAACTTGGCGAGCTGGTCTCACATCAGCAATGAGTTACAGCGCCTCTTTTCTCTTGGCCCCAGCATGTGTTCGGCATCATGAGGAGTGCTACGCAGTTGCGACTGCGACCGTCCAGCCTGTCGTTTCCTGATGCTCAATGCCAAGGTCTATGCATATGCACGCCTCAATTTTCACCATGACTTGCTTCTGGATGTACTCAAAAAGAGAATCACAGAAGCCACTTCCCCAGCTCAACTCCATGCAGGAGTAAGTCCGGCTTTCGCTTTGTATGTGTGTGTGTGTGTGTGCGTGCGTGTGTGTGTGTGTGTGTGTCCAACTCTGTTTCCAAGAGACGTGAGTGAGTTAAGCAGCAGGGGGCAGAGGGTCTCATTTCACGGCCTCTGCCAATGAAGCTCCGTGATATTGAGACAGGTAAACGTACCTGCAGTGGTCGGCATGGGCACATTTGTGCAGCTTGTGACCACACAACTGTTGATTGCGAGTAGGAGTGTAGTGCAGTTTCATGTGCAGTATCATGTGCAGTCACATGAGCGATTCGCGTTTGTCTTATGGTAGTACTTCTGATTGCATGTTCTGACTTCCCCTACAGCTTCCGGCAATATGTTCTGACTGATCAGACCTGCGACACGATGTGTCAAGTGTGCTTCACAACGGCATTCCCTATGGGCGCCGTGTCTCCCAGAGGTAGCTCTGGCGCTGACTTTCCCGACTGATTGCATAAGCATTGGATGACTTCCTTTGACTTCACATCCATGCTTGCATGCTGACTTCTTCAGTGAGTCTTTCCCAAATGCCTTCTCCGAAACCTGAATGCTGACTTTCTCATTGACTTTATTATGATCTGGTTGACTTTCCCGAGCTGACTTTACCACTGACTTGTCGCAGGTCTTCGGCTGCAAGTTGAGTACATGAGCTGTAATTTTGGTAGTTGCCGATCAATTTGCCATGGATACTTCAGACAAAGGACGCAGCACCGGGACATCTCTTCCCCCCCTTCCTCCCCCGCCTCTCCCTCCACCCTCCTCCTCTCCCCTCCCTCCTTTGCCCCCCCCTCCCCTCTCCACTGCCGCCCAACCCTCCTCTCGTGGCACCACAGCGAAGTGGATTCCACCCCCCCCCCTCCCCTTCCCCTCCCGCTTTCCCTCCCCCACCCCCCACTCCTGCAGTGTGTTCGGTGCCAGCTTCGTCATCTTTGCCGATCTCTTCTGTTTGCAATGTTGGATTGGGAACAGCAGATGTAGTTCCTGCCTCTGCATCCGCACATGCTGTAAGTGATCGACCTGTTCCACAACAAGATGTTCCACCAGCCATCACTCTACACGCAGATGGTACAGGTTTCCGTCTGTCGTTTCGTTCAGTTGCCGATTTTGCAGTGCGGACCAGAAATACGTCTTTCGTGTTAAACCCCTGCAAGAATCTTACGAGCATCTTGGGAATCGAGCTCTTCTCAGAGGTCATGTGGAAGTAGAGTGGGAACAAGATTCAAACTTCTTCGTGATTCCTGAACTTCGTGGGTTGGAAGTGCGTGATGAAGAAGGGAAGCTGATTCAAGTGTACTCAGCCAACTTCAATTGGGTCACATTGTATCCCATGTTTACTGCTCTGCGCCCGCGTACCAAACTGCAACTCAGTGTTGCATGTACTTCAATGCAAGTGTATTGCAAGGGATGTGCAAGGGACGTGCAAATGATGCGCAAGGGATGTGCAAGGGTTATGCAAGTGATCTGCCGGCAGCATGTGTTGTGAATATTTGCAGACACTGTTTTGATTCATGTCCTCAAGGCACTCTGCAGTTCTAAAAAGACTTGTAACGTACAGGTAGCTTCAAATTATGTCGGTTTCAGTTTTGAGAGCGATGCTGCCTCTGTATCGGACGTGCACTCGTCCGACTTTTCGTCAGACTTTGCAGTGTCGGACCAAGCTGGAGTGATTGGTTCAGTACATGTTTTTGCTTGCTTGTGCGACTCGTAGACTGCAGTTTCGCGACATGAGTGCGGTTTGCATATGTTGGAATGAGTAGACTCTGCAGTTTCGTGACATGAGTGCGGTTTGCATATGTTGGAATGCGTAGACTCTGCAGTTTCGTGACAGGAGTGCGGCTCGCCTATGTTGGAATGCGTAGACTTCAGTTTCGTGTCATCGGTGCAGTTCGCCTATGTTGGAATGCGTAGACTCTGCAGTTTCGTGACACATGAGTGCGGTTCGCCGATGTTGGAATGTGTAGACTCTGCAGTTTCGTGACATGAGTGCAGTTCGCCGATGTTGGAATGCGTAGATTCTGCAGTTTCGTGACATGAGTGCGGTTCGCCGATGTTGGAATGCGTAGACTCTGCAGTTTTGCGACATGAGTGCGGTTTGCTTATGTTGGAATGCGTAGACTCTCTGACATGAGTGTGGTTCGCCTATGTTGGAACGCATAGACTCTGCAGTTTCGTAGACTTTCTGCTTTGAGACGTTGCTGGAAATGATTGCTGAGAGTATTCCTGCCGTGCAGCCCTATCCGATTGAATGACATAACGGAGAGTCCAGCAGTGCAGGTTTGCCGTGCAGCAAGTGTGAGCGCATACTCGTTTTGTAATGGCAGACGAGGTCATTGATTGCAGTCTCCTGTGCATGGACTTTCTGTAGAGTGATGGTGGATGCCCAATTGCTTTGCATCCTCGGTTTTGAACAATAAGAAAGCCCAGCTCGATGCTGTATATTGGCTCTACAAGCGTCTCAGACTCTGCAGTTTCGTGACATGAGTGCGGCTCGCCAATGTTGGAATGCGTAGACTTCAGTTTCGTGTCATCAGTGCGGTTCGCCTATGTTGGAATGCGTAGACTCTGCAGTTTCGTGACACATGAGTGCGGTTTGCCGATGTTGGAATGCGTAGACTCTGCAGTTTCGTGACATGAGTGCGGTTCGCCGATGTTGGAATGCGTAGTCTCTGCAGACTGGTGACATGAGTGTGGTTTGCCTATGTTGGAATGCGTAGGGCGTAGACTCTCTGACATGAGTGTGGTTCGCCTATGTTGGAATGCGTAGACTGTGCAGTTCCGTGACATGAGTGCGGTTCGCCGATGTTGGAATGCGTAGATTCTGCAGTTTCGTGACATGAGTGCGGTTCGCCGATGTTGGAATGCGTAGACTCTGCAGATTTGCGACATGAGTGCGGTTTGCTTATGTTGGAATGCGTAGACTCTCTGACATGAGTGTGGTTCGCCTATGTTGGAACGCATAGACTCTGCAGTTTCGTAGACTTTCTGCAGTTGCAAAGAAGAGTCTGTTTGCCAGTGCTGCTGCAAGTGTATTGCAAGGGATGTGCAAGGAACGCGCAAGTGATGTGCAAGGGATGTGCAAGGGTTATGCAAGTGATCTGCTGGCAGCATGTGTTGTGAATATTTGCAGACACTGTTTTGATTCATGTCCTCAAGGCACTCTCCAGGTCTAAAAAGACTTGTAACGTACAGGTAGCTTCAAATTATGTCGGTGTCCAGCTTTGAGAGCGATGCTGTCTCTGTATCGGACGTGCACTCGTCCGACTTCTCGTCAGACTTTGCAGTGTCGGACCAAGAACATGATCGACGTGCAGCTTTGGTATCAGGTGTTACCGCGGTCAGTGATCCGGATTCCGCTGATTTCGCCTTTGATCATGAGAGCTCAAATGTGTCATCGTTCCTTGGCCGACAGTCTCCGTCAATGTCCCCTGGTCGATCAGTTCAGTTTCCAAAGTCGAACCGTTCCGCTGCAGAACACACCAACATGTCGAAGATTGTCCCGCCGCGGAAACGCAAGCTTCGTATGATTGATGAAGGTCCTGATGGTGCGCGTATCAAGATTCGTCCTGCACCTAGAGCCCAATTTCGTCGCAGAATGGAAGGCACGAGAGTGCTTGGTGACGACTTCTTCATCCACAACAGAGCCCAGTTCATTCTCGATTTCCTGAGACAACACGGGGAGCACATTGCTAAAGAAAAGCATGGCCCTAGGAAGCGTTTTTCCTCTACTTTGAAACTTGTGCAGTACGTCTTTGACCGAAAGTGAGAGAGCGTTGACGGTTTGAAAAGAGTCCACCAATGCTTTGTGTCAACCGAAGTGATTAGCAAGGGAAGAGTAAGCGGATTGCAAGTGATGTGCAAGGGACGGTCGAGGTATGTGCAAGTGCTGTGCAGGAAATGTGCGGAGAGACAAGTCAGGGATGTGCAAGTGCTGCGCCTTTGGGAGTTGCTTTCATCAGACATGGAATAGAGTTTTGTTTCAAGCAGTCTGGAAGTTTTGTAGATTTCGAACAACATGGATTGGGCCGCTTCTGACGTGCTCGAGAACATCTTGACGTACTTGTTGCCGATCAGAGCCAGAATCACATTCATTACTCGCCTTGATCGAAATGACGACCCAGAAGAGGCGCAACCCTTAACCGACACCTTGGTGGCCTACACGTTCTTGCAACGTGGGATACAAGAATTTCGGCTGTCCTCCTCGGTTGAGTTGACCATGGGTTTTCAGTCTTTGCATACCACCATCCGTTTTGTTCAAATCAATGCCGTGGCCTGCACCATGTTGGGCAGCCCTTCCAAGAGGTGGATGCGTGCTGTGGTAGACCTAGCACAGGAGCGTTTGCGAGTGAGTATCGTGTCATTGGCCAATGCTGCGTACCAAACTGCAACTCAGTGTTGCATGTACTTCGATTCTGATGCAGAGGAAGCCGAAGTCGAATTGCACCTAGTGTACAGACTGCGTTTTCTGAAGTTTCGTAGCCCACTCTCCTAGTTCTCCCAAGGACAAGACGTTTCGATGATAAATCGGTGAGAAAAACAGCGCGCAACGACCACCAACATTGCACGGAGCCCCTCGGGGCTTGTGTGTGTCCAACTCTGTTTCCAAGAGACGTGAGTGAGTTAAGCAGCAGGGGGCAGAGGGTCTCATTTCACGGCCTCTGCCAATGAAGCTCCGTGATATTGAGACAGGTAAACGTACCTGCAGTGGTCGGCATGGGCACATTTGTGCAGCTTGTGACCACACAACTGTTGATTGCGAGTAGGAGTGTAGTGCAGTTTCATGCGCAGTATCATGTGCAGTCACATGAGCGATTCGCGTTTGTCTTATGGTAGTACTTCTGATTGCATGTTCTGACTTCCCCTGACAGCTTCCGGCAATATGTTCTGACTGATCAGACCTGCGACACGATGTGTCAAGTGTGTGTGTGTGTGTGTGTGTGTTTGTGATCGATCCGATGCTTGAGCTGCAAATCTTCAGGTGATCAAAGCCATGAAACCGTGGCATCTGGCCATGGTAGTGAACGGATTCGCAAGGCTTGGAGCGAGTCGCTCGACTGCCATATCTTGCTCGAGGGGCGATTCCCGGCAGCAGTCAACATTGACATAGCATGGCTGAGGCGACGAACGATTTTTCACTGTCCTGGCTGCAGAGATTGCAAAGAAGATCTCTCAGTTTGAGAGCAAGCCGTGCCCCAGCTTGTACCATGGTCTCACGGGTGCTACAAGTAGTAGTCAGGTGTAGCTCGTCGTACGGAGCTGTTTTCTGCTTCGAGGCTTGCGCTCGTGGCGAATGCCTATGCGAAACTTGGCGTCCGCAATCGTCCTCCGGCTGCAAAGCCAGCAAACCTTGAGCATGAATGCTCCGAAACCCCAAATGCCTTTTCGAGGTTTTCTTCTGGAGCTCTTGGGGGACGAGGCTTTTCGCCGGCGAGGCGAACTTGAGCCCCAAGCTGTTGCTCTCGTCCTCAATGCGCACGCACGCCTCCAGATGTCGAATCCCGTGCTTTTCGCTGCTCGGCAGGGTCAGGAACAACTTTTTGTCAGCACATTGCATCCACCCGCTGCTTGCTAGCCCACTTCTGAGACATGCTAAGATAACAGTAGGTGCGAACTGTGTTGATATTGTGGTCTCATGTTTCAAGCCAGACTTTAAACAGCAGGCGTCGATGACAGCAGTGACAGTAAGTGTTCAAGCAAATCATACGGCAGCAAGAAGGTTGGCCGTAGCTGATGGAAGTTCCCTTAGTCACGCGGTTTGTGTAGCACAGATACAGATGCCTGCTTTGCCAATGACCGATGCGATGTAGCGCAGTGGTCAGACAATCGCCGAACAGACCGAGAGAGGAGGCCGGTGAATTGCAGCCTCAAGGAAACCATGTGCATCCTTCCCTCTGTCCCGCGCTCCGAACCCGGAAGTGCAGCACTCCACCCGGCATAGCTGGAACATGCTGGACCGACATACGGAGGGATCAAGCGTTTCATCAGCGCAGTATTCGTGCAGTGCCAAATTTGCAGCTCACCAACACGGGCACGCCACTGGTAAGCCTAGGCAAAGTGGGGTTCTCTTACCTGACACCCGGAGTCCTCGCATTTCAGGATTACTTCGCACAAGAAGTGCCTCGGCGCATACGAGCCCACAACATACAGTCGCTCTGTATTGTGGCCAGCGCTTATGCGCGAGTACGTCGCGGAGACGAGTCACTCTTCGAAACTCGGCTTCACCTGTTGAATGGTAGGCAATGGTAGGTGTTGTCGCATTTATAATCTGCAGATGTCGCAGCAGGAGTTTATGACCGCAAGCTGTCATTTGTTGCCGCCGCCAAGGCGAAAATTGGAGATCATGCATGTGCAAATGCCTCGCAGCTTCTGGTCACAATGCCATCCCGGGTTGCATGAACGGGGGTGAAGTTGTTGCCTTGCCGGAGGGGGCGGAAGCTTTTCTTGAGAGGCATCTTCTCTCCGACTGAGAGGGGTCGAAAATGCTAGATGATTCTACACCTTACCTGTGAACTGCTCCTTCCCAGGAAGTAGTGGTCTGCTCGCCTGTAAGGCATTGCAAAACCTGGCCTGCTCAGCTGTCATGCCATCCTACTGCCAGAAAGTGCACTCCGGCAAACCAGTCGGTAGAGTTCCTGGAGTGATGTTGGGGATGGGAGTTCATGGCACCAAGGGGCAAGTGTGTGGAAATCCTGAGTTCTCTCTCATGACTCTTCATGACTTCCAGAGTGGTTGGGAGATCCCCCAAACATCCAGTCGTTTTGAGTCTGGTCCTGCCCTGCTGGTTCTTTATCTCCAGGCGGTGACTTGTATAAACAGGGAGAGTTTTGACAACATTGGTCGAACGGTTCACCGTTAGGCCAAGAGAGGCTGTGCAAGCGCGGGTGAGCATGTAAGGTTGTATCCTCGTGCGCTTGCCACGATCCTCTATTCGCTGTCCGAAGTCGACATTCGTCATGGCCGCTCGTGCACGCTTGCACTAAGCACTAATCCTGGGGATGCGCTGGCTGTTTGCCGCCGCACAATACAGGCTAGAAGCATCTGCCTATCACACCGTGGACTCAGGCATGCTCTTCTTCAATGCCCCAGAGCATGTCGAAATGTACTGCCAGAGTTATACCACAGACGAGCTTTGCATGGCCTCTGCCTGAGCTGAAAGTTGCACCGTTTCACTCGGATCGAAGACGGCCGCAGAGTCTCAAAATATTCTCGTTCAGGTCGGCCGTGCATACGGACGTTTCCAGATGGCTCACACACGCCTCTTCGAAAGTATTAGCTCTGCTCTTCCCGGCCGTTTGCTCTCAATTCCAGAGGCCACTTGACGTGTCGAAAGCACGTCTCGTCTCGAGTCGATTCAGCTTGCAGAGTTGTCATGTTGCAGGAGGATGCAATGCGTGTCCGAATTGATGGACATGCCGAGACCGAGGAGCTGACAAACGAGACTGCCATGTTTCGAGCTCTTGACCGCTCTTCCTCCCCATCTCCCCTCCTCGCTCTCACCTGTCTCTCGTCGCCGATTTGGGCTGGTTTACCGTAGCATGTTTGCCCACTCTGCAGCACTGACACAGATGATTGCTAGCCGCGAAATCGTCAGGACGCAGATGCACAGGGGCAGATGTCTGTGCCTCGAATCAGTGGATTGGTTGGGCTTCTGGAGGCCTGTGTCAGAACCCACTGACCCACTGACTACTAGCTATTAGTCGGCAGTTCCCTTGCAGAGGCCTATGCCCGACTCACCATCTTCCATGCCGAAACCCTCAAGCTGCTGGCCGATGCTGTCGTGGCTCGCGAGAGGGAGCTGGCACCGCCTTTGGTCATCCAGGCCATGGCCCCCAAATGAGAGAAGCAGAGAAGACAAAACAGGCCAAGACTTTTCAAAGCAACAAGACACAGGAATCCCGCAGACCATGTCCGTGGCAAGACGCGCTGTTTCTTCAGGCAGCTCGTGCCTGCGCCGCTCTGGCATACGCACATCCTGGCATCATCAGGCATCTGCAGCCATCGTCTCGCTATTTGGCGCCATGACAAAGTCGTGTTGGCTGATGAGAGGCTAGCCACGGCTTGCATGGCGGAGTTCGGAGAGCAGCTTTCCGAGGAGGTGCAACATCGATATTCATTGCAGTCATCTTTGCCCCGTCTGAAGCCATGACAGCTTCCTCGCATGATCGAAGCCGTTGCTAGGACTTCGATCTTCTCGGGCGAGCCCTGGAAGATCTTGGCGTGCTGGGCCAGGACAGTCGTCTCATGCTGGCCCCCTCCTCGGCTCATGGCTTCGTCTTCCGGCTCATGACTGTTGGAGTGTGGACAGCTCAGGAAGGTGCCCCGCTGGATCTAGACCATGGCCATGGCATGCCGCAACAAAAAAGGCTGTTTCTTGCTGCCATCAAGCCTTGGCAGTCATCGCAATACCGCCCTGGTCCACACTTTGGTGAGGTATTACGACTGCTGTAGCGGCTTTGACAGCTTCCACTGTCATGCCAGACAATAACAGGATGGCGGCAAATCGTTGACGGCACAGCTTGCGCCAGCCTCAGTCACAGCCTTTTCTTGGTTGATTCAGCCGCTTGACAGTTATAAGAAGCCGAGACATTTCATACTGCGGCCGTGGTTTTGCCCTCCTGCGCCTACTTGTGCGTTGGCTCGAAGTGGCCATGTCTTGTGCTAACTGTATTCGGTTGGTCTTCTGCATCAAGCTAGCAGCACGACCGCTTGACACCTTGCGTGTGCGATGCCATTCCCAACTAGACCAAGCGGACAATTCCTGTACTCCTATTAAGAGTCACGTCTTCGTGCTGGCATTGTGAGCCGATGGGGGCACATTGCGGACGCTTTATCCAGGCATGCAAGCATCTCCGCACTATACAGTTCCGGGACGGGACACGGTTTGGCGGACGGACGAGCGAGTTGCTCCTCGTCAGTTTTCCCTGTAACTTTGTTTGGGGCTATGAAGGAACTTCCCGAAATCTACGTTAGCGAGGATGTCCGAACCGAAGACTCAGGTGGGGCAAAAAAGACAAAGTGGTGCTCACAGTGTTTGCCGGCACATGGAATATGGGCAATGCGCCGCCTCCAGATGATTTGCAGGCACCTCGAAGGTTAGGTTACGTGGTAAAGCCAATGTCTAAAAGACTGTCATCTCACGGCGAGGTGTTGATGTCCTGTTAATTGAGGATTGGCTAAAGCCTGGCTACGATATTTACTTGATCGGTGTGCAGGAGTGCAACTATCACCCTCGACCATGGATAGACAGCTGTGCAAAGGATTGGCGTGCAACGGTGGATGAGAATCTGCCCGGTCTGGTGCAAGTTTGCCAGCATGAGATGGGCTACTGCCAGATCCTGTGTTACGCAAAGGAAAGAATAAGCAGGTCCATTCACAATGTGGTGGCGTGCCATGAGGAAACAGGCCTTGGCGGCTTCCTTGCCAACAAGGGTGGGCTTGCAATGTCTTTCTGGATCGGAGATACGAGTATCTGCTTCGTATGCTCTCATCTTGCGGCACATCAAGGCAATATTGATCGCCGCAACAGCGACACCGCCCACATAATCGAGGGCATCTGTCTGACGAAGGATCAGCTTAGGCCGTTGACGCACCAGTTCTTCGCATGCACTTATGCGAGTGTTGAGTCGTGAGCCATACACTGTGTGGTGGAATTGCTTTCCTTGACCAGATTGCTGGTGACTCAGGTTTACGCATGTCTTTTGGGTCGGTGGCTTTTCTTGAATAGCAGCACCGTGGGATCATGCCAAACTTCACCGGTCTGTTGTCATGGCGAGCGCATTTGCATTGTTGCGACTTTGAATCGCTCGGGCGGTCCGGCCTTGGAATAATCGGCACAAGCCAAGGCGATCTGAACTATCGCATTGACTTGCATAGAGAGGCCAGTCCAAGTTCTACCAGACATGGCCTCGGCTTGAAACTGGGCCATCCGCAAAACCGTACAATAGCCTTACAGTTCCTTCCTTGAATGAGCTTCTTCCCCATCAATCCCATTCCCTTGCTCCTTTCGTCCGCTCCTTACGACCACAAAAGTTGAGAAGTGCTTCTACAAGTGGCAGGGTCTTTGAGCGAAGTGCAGCAGTGGAGTCCGTAAGATGTCTCGCCAGTTTACCTTGGAGCACAATGGGTGCTGCTCGCGAGGCATGCGAGGAGTTGATCTGTCAGCATGCCTGGGAGAAGCTGCGAGAGCACGACCAGCTGCTGAAGGCGTTGGGCTACCATAGCGTCAGCATCTCGATGCAGTTGTTGAGGAATGCAATTCTATGTCTCCTTGGAATCTTGTAGGTGCCATGCACATGGCTTTAGTGGCACTTGTGCCCCCAAAGTCTGCAGCCTGAATCCAGGAGCAACCATCGAGAGGGTTTAGGGTCTCCTGGGCAGGTGCAACAAGAGGAAAAGGCTTTCTGGACCTTCCAAGAAGGCTCCAGCCGAGAGCAGTATTGTACATGCTGGAGCATTGGGAGAGATTGGAACCTACACTTGACCGGTTGGTGCCGGCAGGCCCTCTGAGCTTTCCGCCGACGTATCAGCACATCCCAGGCTCGATGGAGATCGGCTCTTTTGGCATAAATGTATATGTATATATATATATATATATGTGTGTGTGTGTGTATCTGTGGAACATAATTTTCCATCTATCTATCTATCTGGATAGACATATATATATATATGTATGTATACATATGTATATGCATACACATATGCTGTATGATGTATTGCGTGCTACCCATTGTGTTCTGCACAAGCTTTTCCCTGAAGGAATGCCGCCGGATCCCGAGACCAGGCTGCGAGCCTACGACCCCAAGAAAGCCAGGGTGCCTTCCTGGACGGATCGCGTGTTGTGGCAGTCCTTTCCCGACGTCGATGCTTGACTCGAACTTGGAAGAAAATGACGAAAAGGAGTGAAGGCGAGCACACTCGAACTTGAAAGAGTTAAACAACCAGAGCACTCCCGCCTCCAACGCGTAGACGAAAGTACAGACTTGTTCTGACCAGAGACTGCAGGATGTCACGCTGCAACCCGGCTCGTACACGAGCTCTCCTACACTGTGCACCAGTGACCACTCTCCGGTGAGTGCGGTTTTTCAGATGCCGCTGACGAAGCCATACCGAGTCGATGAAAAAGGTGGCTGCCTGTTTATTCAGATCCGAAATCTGCGGGCGACAGGGCTCCCTCCAGGTGATCATCATGTCTCCTTCTGGGGGCAGTACTGTGAAGGAACCAAGCACACCAGGAACGCGACGAGCAAGGATGGCTATGCGCAGTTTAGCAAGATCACTCTCAAGACCAAGCCAGGTGTGTGCAGCACCAAGTGGGTGCAGACACGGCACCTCCTCGTTGCTATCTACAAGGTAGATGATGCCATGGAAAGCGCACACATGAAATCGCACCCAGTGTCTACCCTTATGGCAATGACCGGGTTTGTGGATGGCTTTGAGGAGCCGGACGGCTATGGAGTGGTAAGCCTTCGAGGAGCAGGATCTGGAAAAGGCTTCAGCATTGCCCTCAGCAACAGCTGGGGATCCCATGTCGGAAACCTACATGGCGAGATCAGGATTTGCAATTATGCTTCCGGCTCGGACTCGCGTTTGGACTTTGATATTTCCAATGTTGTCCCCAAATCTCCAATCTGCCCCAGCCCGTCGAATGTGAATGAACAGCTACAGGATAGTGGCGAGAAGCTGTCCGGCTGTTGCCTTAACTTTAAGACGCTGCGCTTAATTTGACGCTGGCATGCTTCACCATGCTGGAACTCTTTGCACATTTTCCATGTGCAGTGTAGGCTGAAGTCTGAGATGACCAGCCGCCCTCTCTCAGTTCTTGCCCCCCCCATCAATCGCCCTCAAGTCCATATCAGCTACGCAAAAGGCGAAATCTCATGTCCACGAACTGCTTGTGGTGCTAAGTGCAAAGTTCCCTCACGGCACGTACAAGTTTGGACCAGCTCACGCGAAGCTTTGTGATTGCTGGCGCTGCTCCCTCCACGCTTTTTAAAAGTGTACGATAGATTGATGGTGTAGTCTGCAAGGCCTGTCTGCAAGTTGAATGCTGGCCTGGGCTGAGAAGCCCTCGCTCTGCTAAAGATCTACATCACAGGGGCAGGTCTAGAACCTTACCGGCGAGGTCTGCGTTGCTGAGTAGTCCTCCTTTCCAGTGCTGAAAATGGCTGCCATAGCAACGCAATCCAGACCTTGTTTGGGGACACAGTGCTGCTTGCTGGTAAGTTTGTTGATATTTGATCTGAGTCACAGGAGTCATATACTACAAGGTACGGGGGGTAAGATCGACATGCGAAGATGGCAAGTGCACGGCCGCCTGTGTTTGACAGTGTCCTTGGTCAGAGAACCAAAGGCAACAGGTCTTCTGTCGGAGTTCCGGGCGGCTTATGCCAAGCACTAGCTGCCCGTCATGCCTCCTTTCAATCACCGAAGGCTCCGCCTTTGAGGCAAACTGCGAGTGTGCTCATGCCATGATGTAGGTGTGATGGCCTCGCGCAACCCCAGAGGCAAAATCCTAAACCAAGCCACATGCGACTACTATCAGTCGTGTTTGTGCAGAAGATTGCGTCTGTGTCCAGGTGGGTTCCGTGCCTTTTGATGAGGTGCCGACGTACATATCTTTGTGGCCACGTGGGGGGCGGGCTAACCCGGACGTAGCTGCAACGACGTTTGCATCTTCCTGTTTAAGCCTGCTGTCCCATCACCGCAGAAGTCAGACTGTGCCAGCACTGATGAGATCTTTGCGGTTCTGCGGCCTTGCAGATTGATAGGCTGCGGCTGCGCGCCTCCGAGAGATTATGTTTGCAGCTGTGACGGCTGCTGCCATCAATGTTTCCCGTGCAGGCACAGACCGCTACAGTTGCATACACGTCTGCTGCATGTCGGCACAACATAGACGAATCGATGGTGCCTTGCAGTGCATAGATTACGTTCGTTGGACCAGGTTGCGACCCACCAACTGCACCCGAGCTGCTGCAGGCCTGGAAGGGTTCGACACTATTGTCAGCTGCGCGCGAAGCAGTTTGCGAGCGGTGGGAAAGGATACTTGAAACGAGAAGCGACACGCATCGCAGGCACGTGTGCGTGGTAAACTGCCCAAACCAGCTTCTAGAATCAGCCCCCCTGATGGAGATTACACCTACGTAGCCCTAACAACAAGTCCCCTGGCAAAAGCCTTTGTCTTAACCGAGCAAGCGCTGTGGGACCTTGTTGTTTTCCTGGCCATCAATCATTGAGGCCGCCTTTTCGCATGTGAACTTTCAGTGTAACCTGCCACTTGGTGCTAGAAGGTGCTATCTACTCTGTAGTATAGAGTCCACACGTTCCAGGAGTGGTTCGCGTTCAACATACCGAGAGGTCAAGCGGAAGTGCCGGCAACTAGCACTTGACACTGCTATCTAGCTTGAGCGAGAGTACGAGATTCGCCTTTCCGTTTTGCGGCCATGGATTGCTAGTCGAACATTGTGTCGCTTGCGTGTGCAATTGAGTTTTGGTGATGCGGTTCGACCCCTTTGCAGTTGGTCAGCAGGTTGTCTCGGAAGTGTGTGTGTGTGTGTGTGTGTGTGAAAGTCATGCATATTCTTGCGGCTGGAAATTCAGACCCGTCGGTGCGTTGTGCCAACTTTTTGTGGCTTCCACGGCCCGCATTCAGCTAGGGCTAGGGGTTGACACACCGGGGAGCCAGGACAAGGAGATGTTGAGCTTCAGTGAACAGTTTTGGCAGGAGTGGGCTCCATGTCCGAGATGTGTCAAGAACGGCTGCCAACGTAATAGTGCGCATTGGATTAGCCGTTCATTGTGGGGCTGCTGCAACATCACACGACCTAATGTCACGAAAGCTAGCTCTTCGGAGCTTGCGGGAGTTGTCGTTCACAAAGTTCTTCCCAGGTAGTTCCATGGGTGCAACGAAGGCCTATGGCCTTAAAAGGCTTCTTTTGAAAGGATTTCGGTGTCGGGGGAGGCCCCCCCACCCACCGTCCTGCTTCTAGTTTTCGTAGCCCTGCTCTCAAGTAACAAGCCCTTGCGGCAGTGTGAACTTCAGGGGAGAGACAGCTTCATCCGCAAAGGTCAGCCTAACACAACATTCGCACGGCAAATTCAGGCAGTTGTTGCAGTGTTGAGAATGCAGCCTGCCGACCCTAATCGCGGAGGCCTCACGCGAACCGGCAAGCAGCAATTTCCCGTCTGTGCCAGCAGGTTGTAGCAGCTCGAAGATGACTTTGCTGGAGCGCTCCGGCTGTGCGAAAGCTGATGAAAGCGAGAGCTTCCAGCATGGTGCTGTCGAACTCTGCAATGGCCTTGCGTCCGAGGGGTTACATTCCGCAGAGTTCAGGAACGAGAGCAGAGACCGAAGCTGATGAGCTACTGCAGCACATGCACAGCCAATAGTCGAATCTTCATAATCAGCCATTCCATCGAACGTCAATTCTCCAGCATCGTGGCGGCACCCTGAGTTCGAGGCAAGTCTAATTACTGTCGCATGGACATGAAAAGTTGTGCACGATCACACGGCAGTATGTCACGCAACAAGTCTGAAGCTGATTGCCACATACAAACCTCTAGTCCTTGCGGCAGTGCCTGGGATGATGACCTGAGCTGCTTTCTCAGCGGCGTGTAAGCACTGAAGCGTGGTTTTGCATTCGTTTTGCTCTTCACAATTACTTCGAGCTGCATTGGAAGTGAGAGTCCACCTCGGCTTTTCTGGTGATACGAAGGCAAGCTGGCAGCAGGATTTTCTGAACGCGAGAAGGCAGAGAAGCTCCAAGTCTGAAGCGGGTTGTGTCCACTATTGAAGGATCCAACATAATCCAACTACAAAAAATTATGGCAGGAATCCCGGTGGTAGTACGGCAGTGCCAAAAGTCGTAGGTGGACTGCGCATGTATGTGTGTGGCCCCTGGCCAGTCAGTCTGATGTATGGCCACGACATGGGCATCAAAGCATCCGGCAACATCCCAGGCATTCCAACAGTTGGAGCACAAAAAACATGGGATGCTTCGAGTTGAGGCTGACCGAGCCGCTGCATTTGTCACTGCCAAGGTTGGCATCATGAGCCAAGGCCGTGGTGGCGCGCTGCGTCCTGGCTTCCGCAAGGCACGCATAAAACTGCGAAGTTCGGCCTTGTGATGTCATGCTCTGTGGCTGCTTGACATCATTGCATGATGCTCGTATGGAGCAGGTTCTGGCACAGAGACTCTTCGAGCTTGAGCAAGCGACAAGTCCGCATCCAAGCCGAACGACCATGACTAAGATGCATCGTACAGGAAAGCAGTGCATGAAGTTTCAGTGCCCCAAAGCGCCATCATGAATCGCAGCATGCATGCACAACCCCCGCCTATGCCCATCCAAGAGACGCGTGCTGTTTGGTAATGAAGCAGCATACAGCGACAGAACGCCGCCGGCTATATGGTATTGTCATGCCACAGCCGACGTGACCGGCAGGAGATGATGCGACGCAGCTGTGCGCCCGCATGCTGGAACAGTAGGCGTCTGCAGCATGCCTCCCAAAAACCATAGCATGCTTCTGGGATGCGAAAGCTGCACACCACTTGAATCAGGGTGATGCAGTTCGCTATCAACTTAAGATAACTATCTCGACAATGCTGGTGCTTGACAGGAGGATCTTTTGCTAGCATCAGGCGACGGCAATTATGATGGCTAAGCTTGGACTCCTCGGCACTGCTCACGAGATTCGAGATTTCACCGGCATGGCTTTAAACACAATGAACGTCCAAGAATTCGAATCTCATGCCGCATATATCGAGGACTTCTGCTTTTCTAGCCCGTGCGATTAATCCGAATCCACTATACTATAGGTATAATAAGGAGCCCCCCCAAAATAGTATTATTCGGGTTGACGAAAAAAGTGGGCGAAGAGGTACAATTTACAGGAACGGGCGGCCTTCGAGCGCGGGTATCGGGCTGCCGTGCAAGATGTCCTTGTACTGGCCCCGGCCTTAGGAAGCAAATGGAGTCGGCAGCGAAGCAACTGTTTCGGGGGTTCCTTAGTATGATTATAGTAGTAGTGGGCCCCAAGACCCTATTCTAACTCTTAAGGCCGCTATAGTAAGTGGGAGACCCTTCGCAAAAAACGCAGGTTGGCGCTGGGCTCGCCGGTGCGGCCTTCTTGACAGTGTGCTGGGCTCCTCAGGCCTTTTCCAACTGAACCGAGCAAGTAGTCCGATGTCTCAGGCCTGTCCCCAGCTCTATACCAGAAGGCGCCCATCAGTCGACAGTCTTACTTCGTTGTGCGATGGCTTTGTGAATCAGGTTCGCGAAAAGGTGCGACCCTGGGTTGTGAGACAGGTGGAGCCATCGACTCTGGAAACTGGGGACTAGGGATTTGCCTTCTACCCAATCACATTTGCTTGTGCCTTGAGGCTGGGACGCCCATGGGTAATTTGGATTCAGAGGTTCAGGCCACGACTGTGCAGTCTTTTGATGTACTGTGCATCCAGAGGTCCGCGAGGTAAGGTGGCGAAGCTTGCACAGGCATCCGCTGTTGGACCGGGTCCACCTCTTGGCAGCCAACTCCTGCGGGGTGCCGCCACAATTAGTCGAACAGTGCAGCTGCAGGTTTGATGGTCAGCTCGGTCCCCCATTGTCAACTTGCGCGGCCAATTTCCACACTTTTCCACATGTCAGCTTGCCTAGGGTAAGTAACACACATGCGGCGTGCTTTAAGCCTCTGACTTCCACACCCTAGACATCCCACTCCAGGATGCAGATGTGCCACCAAACTTGCGCTGACATGCTTGGCAATGCAGCTTCCCCTAGACAGCCCGCATGCTGTTCTCAAGATTCCATGCCTCGTACTTATGAGAAACTTGCGCTTGTACCGGGGAGCAAAGCCTGTGGCAGCAAACGGCAATGGGCCGCTTACGTACGGTGTTCTGCCGAAGCGGAAGAGAAGCAGATTCCTGAGCTCAGGGCAGACAAAGCTTCAGAAATTGTCGGGATCCTGTGTTTCGACGTGCGTAATAGCTATAGGCTACAGTGACTCAGCTCAGAAGTCCTCAAATCGCAAGATGAAATTCAGTAACGGAGCATCTTACACTATCTTCACGGCCCTTCGGGTAGTTCGTCGGTGCAAAGCGTTTGCAGCGTGTCTTTGCTAATACAATCGCCAAGGCTGTGCATAAAATCTGTTTAGCAGCTTAGCATCTCTCAGAAACAGTAGAAGTGAGGTAAGACTTTTCTCCGTAGTGTGTCTCGTGTGACAGCTTATCCCAGGTTTGCATGCACGTGGACGAGGACAAATAGTTTCTATGTGACATGCCTTGGGGTTTTGGGGTTTTGCAAGTTGGAAGTGAGAGCCGTGGCGATGAAAGTGGTGGCTCACAACGCCCTCAAAGCATTGTCAGAAAGCTTTGATCACCAGGAGAACACAACAGTTCGAGAATTGCGAGCACAAGTACTGTCGACCCTTGGACGAGTCGAGGCCACACCGCCCTTTCTGCAGCTCAGCTCGTCATGGCTCGCATCGTGTTAGGCCAGCGCCAAGCAAGCTGTTTCAGGACCGAGGGGTCAGGGATTCGTGGAAAGACTGCGCAGATGCTTCTTGCTGGTCCTCTGATCGGTACTCACCCTTTCCGTTCCACCCTCAGTTTGCGGTCAGCATGACCAGGATGCACGGGCATGATGTGCCTGGTCAGCAACGAGCACGTAGCGGACCTCCTGGGGCTGACGGCGGACGTGCTGGAACCGAACTTAGCTCTGTGCCGCAGTATCGAGTCTTAGTTTTACTGTCGTGGTGAGATCGTGTATGCAAAATGTGTCGGTTCGACTTAGCTAAATGATGGCAGATGGAGGCAGCTTTGTTTTGTCACCCGGCGAAAGCCAAAGCTTCACCGAACCGCGGATGTTAAGCACAGCTCGTCAAGGCTTACTGCAGTCATCCTGCAGTTTCTTGGCCCAAGGGCTGAGACAAGCATGGAGAATTTCAGAATGTTTCAGCATTACCGAATTGTCTCAATCATCGGCAGACACCTGCTTTCTTTTCACAGCACGGCTTAAACGTACAGTCAAGCTGGAACCCACGTCAGACATCGTCAGACATTACGCCCGCCCCAGCGCGTGGAGCCAAGCAGTGCAACGGAGCTCACGCAGAGCACAGGAGTTGGCCTGACAGGCGCCCAAGCTGGTGC